CTTATCAAGATGTAGTAGATAGATTGAAAGCATCAGTGATATCTGGTCTGGGTGCTCCTGGTTTGTGGACCATGGAAAGAAGACGTGCTTTTCTATAGGATATATGGCGTTTGAGAGAGGCACCATATTCTGGCTAAAACCTATCCATGAATACTTTATTAAATGTATATCTGCAACTGTAAAAATAATTTGGTCTGAAGCAAGCTTCGTTGATTCTCACAAGAATGTGGAAAATATGATTTGACTACTGATGATACCAAGGAAAAAGCATTAAGGCTAAACAAGGGATTGCTTAACGTTATAAACTGATATAAAACTGGATACAGTGTTGAAAGATCTGTGAAATGATCGAACAATTAGAAACAATCTGACATGAACAGTTGTCTCCATTAAATGTGCAGGAAAAACGTGTCACCTGAGCAGCAAGTATCGTAGTATCGCTGGATCAATCTTATTGGGTGCATGGTCTATGCCCTTCTTCATATGCTAATATTGTAGATTCAGCTGTAATGGTTTTTATTTAAATTAGTTAATTAAATATTAAATTGTGGAATATGCTAGTATTGCACTTTGACTCAAGTTTTTTACTTCTGTTTCATGTTTAACAGCGATGCATGTTGCATAAAAGATATCGATTTCCTGGTGTAACATATGTCTTTGCATGACTAAGCTCTTATCTTAGTCAAGTTTCCTGCCGTTTGTCAATAATTGCTATTTCTTCATTCATTAAATCTCCAAATTTGCATATTTTTTCACGGCCATCGTGCATGTTGAGTGACCAAAACATTGGTCAGTCAAAACGGAATGTTAGATTTCCCGTTTGATATTTTACCCGTGGCTGTCAGTTAGGCAGTTGACGATATTTTGATCGTTGTAATTTTAGTGGCACTTTCTAATTGTATGTTTTCGAATATCTGATGTTAAGTCTACATATTACCTTTGCTCTTGCTCCAAAATGCTAAACTCGGTCTAGATATAAATTTTATAATCGTGAGCTGTATAAGCAAAAATGTTTAGAATTGTTTAGATTTGGTTGTGGAGAATATCGAAAAATGTCGATCTACCATGTGCGTCATTTGTCAATGCAAAGAAGCAATGAATCCTCCTTGTCTGAATGATACCTACCGTTCGTGTATCAGGGAATTAATAGTGAAGCTACTTACCGTTTAAGTCGACGTAGCATAGTCTGAATAGTCGAAGTCTAGATATAAATTCGAATTCGCTGTTCGTCACGCAGTACTTTCCTAGTTTCATTGCTTTGGGGAAGCATGATGAATAAGACTTCTTAGACGGATTAAGTTTCCTAATTTTCTGTCTTTTTTCATTGCTAGAAAGCGCCAGCCCGATCCATCAGCGAGTAGTAGTATTTAAAGAAATGCTGATTACTTGTTTTGGAATTTTTGTCGTTGGTGTCAATTAGTCTTGCATTTTCAGGCTAGCATGGGTAAGCCACAATCTTGTGACACTTTTGTTGTTTTGCCCCCATTAACGAAAGATGGTTTCATCATATTCGGGAAGAATTCCGATCGTCCGGCTAACGAAGTCCAGGAAGTCGTGTTCTGTCCTGCAAAGGATCACCCGCCCTCATCGAAAGTCCTGGTAAGTGATCCAAGCCATTTTAAAGACTTAACTCTTATACCGTTGTCTTAATTCGTGATGAGTGCGTTAACTCAAGGTGAGAGACATGAGCAACCCAGCCTGCCCATTAATAGAATCCAGTGGGGTAAAGATTTAATTTGACTTCTCCCCTGTCCCGTATCATCAGCAGCAGCATTTCTTGATCCATTGCTGGATGAAAACCTCTCTTTTCGAAAACTTTGACAGAAATTTCTTTTGCGGTCTGTATCTATCTAAACCCAATTAACTTCTTTAGCTCATTTTACCATCGACCTATAGTTATTTTTGTGGCCGTTTACTGTCCCCTGGAATCCAGTCGTATTCTCTTCGGTCCAGCGATGGTCGATGCTTCTTGAAACGTACCCTTCCCAATGCTACTTTAATTTCTTCATCCGGGAATGATATCACAGAATTGTTTATGTTTTTATCCATTCATTCATATTTGTATATTTTCATATTTACAGCATTCAT